AAAAAAAAAAAGGAAGCCACAGGCGGTGTTCTTGTCCAGTGCCCACGGGGTAGGATGACGTTACTGCTCCCGTAGTCAATTCTCTGCCCACAGAGGTTGGGCCACACCCTGGACAACCCAGCACAGCAGATGATCTTAACATTATCTAATTATCTCTCAAGTGCTTTAAGCCTGAGTGTGAGACTGGGCATATTGGCAAACTAGTTCTCAGAAGACTGAATGGGGAAAGCTGGGTTCTCTTACATAGACTTCTTTTATTATTTCCCTGTAAATAATGCCACCTGGCAGTGGGTGTGTCGGGGCACCAGCTTGCACATCTTCCTTCCTTCGGCCTCTCCTGGGGCCCTTTCTGCACCGCAGCTCTGTGATGTTAGAATGCTCAGTCCACAAAGATGCAGAATACAAACTGAACTGCTGCTAGAGCACACAGGTGTCCTCACCCTGGAAGCAAGAGTAGTCAGGAGAGACTGGCTTCTTGTTCTGGCTCCAGGCACTGTGCTGGATGCAGGAAAAACCAACAGGAGTCTGGAGGAAGGAAGTGAGAAAACGTGTGCCGGGTGCTGCAGTCGGGGCGTGTATGCAGGGGTGTGAGAGCTGCCACCTCAACTGGGAACTCTTCTGAGAGGAAGTGACACTTCACTTCATGCTGAAGATCGAACACACACACCACAAGTGGATTGACAGAGGCAGGAGATGAGGTTCCCCTTGACTTTGAGCACTGGCAATCATACTAGGAAAGTGGCTGGCTGACTTTTTTTAAAAAATCCAAGTAACGCCGCATGTGTTTATGTAGAAAAGAGAGCTCTAAGGTGATACATTTTTTTTTGTTGTTTGTTTGTTTGCAACCAATATGTTAGATTAGAAATATCCAGTTCCAAATAACTGATTCATGAACCAAATTTGAAATATAGTCTATTTGTGGGTTGTAGACAGACATTAACTGGACAGGCTTTCAAACAATACTGTCTTTGCTCAAAATGCACCTGGCTTTGTTATTTCAAACTTGCCTGCAGAGCTGAGTTAAGCCCACAAGAAAACAAGTCTCATTTTCTTTCCCAGAGCAGATTGACTGACTCCTGACTGTTTCTATAAATCTAAAAGTGAGGATTCTTTCATTAAGGTTTTCAAGGAAGTGTTGAAGGTTTGAAAAGTAATTCCTAACAAGGTGCACGTAGCTGTCTAGGGCAGCAGAAGCAGTCTGTTGGAATCAGTGTTCTGCTCCCCTAGGTGGAAGTCAGGAATGAAAGACTCATTTGGGTATTGCATTCAAAAAACCCACATTCGCTAAAAAGTTAACCCCTTGCAGCCACTATGGGAATGCAAGGTCAGGGAATGATCACAGTGAATTGGGGAAACTTGAGAAATGCTATTTTAGAGAGAGGTGAGTCCTAGAGGAGGTAGGTCTTAAAGAAAGTGACTGTGAACTTGGATGAAGAAGACCTTGGAGAGTGTAATACGCCAGGAAATTGCTGGGATGCAAGAGTGAACAGTACCTTTATTCCACTTTTGCCTGAGTCTCAGTTTCTAATTATGTTGTCTAATCAAAGGTTGGCAGACTCTTCTCCCTGAAGGACCAGTTAGTGTCATAGTTCACGTGGGCTATACCCTCTGTGTCACAGCTTCATAACTGCTTGAAGTACAAGAGCAGCCACGGGCAATTTGTAAATCAATGAGCAGCATGACTAAGTTTAGTAAAACTGTTTCTGGTGATGTGCCAGATTTGGCCCCAGGCCATAGTTTGCTGCCCTCTTATCTAGATGGCATATAGTCATTATCTTCTTAAGCCTGAAACTCCTTCATTGATTTATTACATTAAAATTTATTTAATGTACTTAAATAAAAAAGAATGACGAAGAACAATGTCCCGTTCTGACACTCCCTGGTTTTTTGTTTTTTTTTTTTTTAGAGACAGAGTTTAATTTTGTCACCCTTGGTAGAGTGCCATAGCATCACAGCTCACAGCAACCTCCAGCTCTTGGGCTTAGGCGATTCTTTTGCCTCAGCCTCCTGAGTAGGTAGAACTACAGGCACCTGCCAAAACACCCGGCTATTTTGTTGTTGTTGTTGTTGCAGTTTGGCTGGGGCTGGGTTTAAACCCGCCACCTTGGGTATATGGGGCCAGTGCCCTACTCACTGAGCCACAGACACTGCTCCACTCCCTAGTTTTTAAAATGCCTTGATTTGCACTATGAGAATTTATCATAATAAGGTATATCTCCATTTTATAGATAAGGAAACTGAGGTTTGGGGTCTTGTGACTTTGCACAACGTCACCCGCACTATAGGGGTCCTACCTCTTTCCTGAAATCCTCCTGTTGTGAGCCTCCTCTGCCTGAACGGTAGATAAGAACTCCAACCAGAAGTCAGAAATTTGGGACTTTTAGCCCTTTCAGAATGGTTTATCCATTTACCTCCTTAAGCAAGGCTGTCAGCCTCCAGGTCAGGAGTTGCACACTTGTGTGTGAGGGACCAGACAGGGTCAGGCAAGGGAGTGAACCCGGCTCCCTATTGAATTCTTGGCACAGCACACTTTCTTAGCATCTTAAACAACTTGAGAATATTCTTCACTTCGTAAACAGATAAGCTGGAAATGTGCTCCAAGGTGGTACATCTTTTGTTTTCCTAAAAGAATCCAGAAATCTGGGCTTTTGTGTGAACTCTCCCAATTTTAAAATGTTTATAGCCATACTTTCAAATATCATTTTGCTGCTGGCAGAAGCTTAGGTTAAATATGTTTACTTTGGGTTGGGGTTCTTATTTCCTATTCCAACTAAAAAATACCTCTGAAAACGTCTCAAAGCATTTGTGAGTAAACAGTGTTTACTGAATCTCCGGAGTGAGGACTTGGAAAAGTTTCCATTTGTTAACATCTAAGGGCTCTGACTAAATTTCCCTATTCCCTAAGCAGAATCTCTTACAGAACAGGCTAGAGGTTCTGATGCCGGCCCTGACTAGTGCGCCCCAACAGTCATCAAGACTGTGGTGAGAGTCAGGCCAGAACTGTGCTGAGGCAGGTTCTTGGCACTGGAGTGGGGTTCCTCGGATCATGCTACTCAAAGTGTAGTCCCTGGACCAGCAGCATCCCCTGGAGCTTGCAAGAAGTGCAGAATGTCAGGACCCTCTCCAGACGGATTGAATCAGAAACTCCATAGCAGGCTTGAGAATCTTTCATGATGAGCTTTCTAGATAATTCTTTGTAAGAAGCACTAGTTTAGAAATAGTTGTAGGTGGGGTGGCGCCTGTAGCTCAGTGAGTAGGGCTCCAGCCCCACATACCAAGGGTGGCAGGTTCAAACCTGGCCCTGGCCAAACTGCAACAAAAAAATAGCCAGGCGTTGTGGTGGGCACCTGTAGTCCCAGCTACTTGGGAGCTGAGGCAAGAGAATTGCCTAAGCCCAGGAGCTATAGGTTGCTGTGAGCTGTGATGCCACCGCACTCTAGTGAGGGTGACACAGTGAGACTCTGTCTCTAAAAAAAAAGAAAAGAAAAGAAATAGTTGTAGGTCTGTAATCCTTGATTGGAACTTTTGGACAAATTTTCTCAATTTTTCTCAAATTCTAGAAAGGTAATAAGGTAGTTTGGTGCATATGCAACTGTAATGGGTATCTCTGAGTCTAGAGCAGCACTGTAATAAAACACATTAATATTTCTGCTAAGAACACATAAAATTTCCTGCTAAGAAGAATAATAAAGATCACATCATCCCCATGTCAATTTAGTCAGCTTTTGTTGCCAAATACCTTTAAATTTCCTCTTGGTTTAGCATTTAGAGAACCAAGATTGTAGAGAGAGGACTGGAAGACCTGGATACTTGGATGGGAAACCACCGTGGGACACTGCAAAAAACCGGTTTCATAATCTTGCATGTAGCTTCCCAGTTGATAGGGCATGAACTTTGTATTGGAATCTTAGCAATAGGCCATTACCTTAATGTGACTTGGGAGGTACAAAGTAAACTGTATCCATTTTTAATGCACAGCAGGACCCACAGCTCCTTCTTGCTAGTGCCTCTAAGCTCCTGGGTTCCAACTGCTATAATGTCATTTACCCAGAGAGGCTTGGATGTGTTTTATGACAAATCAAATTTGAGCTAAAAGTTCAAAACAGTGAAATTGTCCCTCTTCTTAGCACTAAGCACCCCTATACAATTGCCTTTCCTGGGGACTCATCCATGTAACCTATCTCTGTTGACCTCACTGGACACCCTGTTCACTCCACAGGGCAGCGGGTATTTGCCATTTACCAAGAATAGCAACTGATATTTCTTCTGTATGCCAGATGTCATACTGGGCCCTTTATCTTTTACATCATTTCATATAATCTTCACAGTAACACCACAAAGATGGAATGAATTATTTCCATTTCGCAGATGAAGAAACTGAGGCACTGAGAGGATGTTTGATAGACAGGAATAGGCTGCAGATCCCCTAATGCCAGCTACCGTTATCAACCCTGGAGTCTGCCTGGCTCCCAGCGTACTCTGATTTTCAAGTTCTCTTGCCCTTAGACGTGGCCATTTTCATTGTGCTACCTTGAGCAGCAAGTGCCAACCCAGATGTTGTCTTGGCAGTTTTTTCAGCATAGCAACTCTGAAAGTCTTATTTGTTACCTTCCAAGAGACCTTTCCACAAAGGGTGGTGACAAAACTGAGCATAGAACTTCTTAGCAAGGGCTGAAAGGCATAAAATGGGCACCTTCTTCTTGGCTCTGTCTCCAGCCAACCTACCTGAACTTACAGAAATAGGTCCCTGCTATCAGCGTTGTGGCCATGCCATGACTAGAATCTACTAACCAGCCAATCAGAGTGCCTTATTCTGAGGGCAGGATCAAGTTCTAAATGACTGCCCCCAAGTAACTAGGCAAACAGAGCACTTTAGAGTTTACACAGGTCTATAAGAATATTGGCTCCTCCGAGATGGGTGAGACTTGTATAGTTTCCCCATTTTGTAAATTAAGAGTGTAATCAGTTTGATGATAGGCATGATCCCTATAATGGATTCAAAATAGCATGGGTTCAAAACTTAGTTGTCTTTCTTAAAATAGCCCAAGGGCAAGTCAGACATCCTCTGAGATCAACCAGAGCCCTGGGTTCCCACTGCAATACTTGTATGGTTTATTAAAGAAAATAAGTTGAAGTCCCACTATAAAAGGGTACAAGATGAAAACTATAGTCTTCTGCTACTCAGGTAACAACATTTAGCTATTTCTACATTTTTAAAAAGATGGAGTCTTTTACTTGGCAGATAGTCAATGTGCTTAACTTTATATTCTAACTGGTGATGTGAAAAGAAAACAATAAGTTTAGGGGTTTTTGTTTTAATACACAAATGTGTTTCTAGACCAAAAAACATAACCAACAATCACCAGGAGTCATTCAGGGAAGCCAGGGATGCTTTGGGGACACTCTTCTGATGACACATGCATGTCACAGGCAGCCTCGACCTTGGGTCTGACCGTGATAAAGATCATGTCTTAAAAACTAAGCACTACCCAGTTGCAGATGTGGCCCAAGGGTAGTAACAGACACACAGTCCACCTTTGAATGCTGAGGCTTCCATCTGGAAAATTCTGCATACCCTTTCTTCTCAGAGAAGTAAACCATTGCTTCCTCTCCTACCCCCATCCCATTCCTCTGTCTCTCTAAATTATCAGAGGGAAAAGTGTGAGACCATAGGAGGACTATTCCTGGACAGCCCTCTTCCTACCTGTATTGCTTTCCCCCTGGGTTTCATCTCACCCTTCTCCCTCCTGAGTTCAGACAGGACCACGCTTCCACATGTCAGAGGATGGTTTCCTGGAGTTTCAATATAACTGGAAACCAAATACCTACTTGAATTTATATATCTTTCTTCTCTAAGAATAGGGGGGAAATAAGGTGAAGCCAACGGTGAGCTTAATTCCCAAAGGGCTAGACTAGAATCTTCTTTTCATTTTTAAGAACTTGCAGCTAAGTTAAATGTCCCTCCCTGCTTGGGGCTGGATCTGTTTGGGGAGAGGCTCTCTCCTCACTCTCCACCCAGATACATGCCGAGGACCAAATCAAGAGCAAATGGAAGGCCAGCAATGGCTCACACCTATAGTCCTAGTACTTTGTGAGGCCAAGAAGGGAGGATTGCTTGAAGCCAGAAGTCTGAAACTAGCCTGAGCAAGAAATAGAAAACTTAACCATGCGTGGTGATGCCTGCCTGCCTGCCTGCTGGTAGTCCCAGCTACTCAGGAGGGCTCAGACAGGAAGATCACTTGAGCCCAGGAGTTTGAGCGTGCAGTGAGCTATGATGACGCCACTGCACTCTAGCTTGGGAGACAGAGAGAGACCCTGTCTCAGGGTGGGAGAGCAAGTGGAAGAAGAGAAATGGGTGTCTCGCAGGAGTGGGAGGCAGCATCTGGGACATAAGCTGATGTGAAACCTCTCTTGCACTTGCCACACCCCAAAGCCCTGACCGCTGCATCCTCACAGCCTTGTGGCCCACCGTCCTCCAGGTGTCCACTTGGGCCCCTTACCACACCCAAGGTGCAATTCTGGCCACTTCAGAAGTCCAGAGCCTCCCTCCCTAAATACCGCCTCTCTCTCCTCCCAGGGCCTGTGGTTTAATGGCAGCGCCTTTCTCTTGTACCTATCTGCTGCTGTCGTGGATGCATCTTCTGTCTCCCCGGAGAGGGACAGCCACAACTTCAACAGCTGGGCAGCTTCATCGGTGAGTGAACCCTCATACCCCCACGATCTTCCTCCTCTTCCTCCCTCTCCAGGGCTCACTTAGTACAGGCAGGAAGACAAAGGTATCTGCAAGAAAAAGCACCACTTGCAGTAGTGACGAATGGGCAACTGGCTTATTGGTTTGAAAATATCAAACATGACAGCACCTCCTGATGGTCTGAGGGAGGAGGAGGCTGGAAGACTCTCCTTTAATGAAAGCTAAATGGCTGGAATGTGATAAGTAACCAAGGGAGAAAAACTATCTGAGACACCCAAAGAATAATCCTACTACCTACAGTGTATTAAGTGGAGGGAGGAGACAGAAAATGAACAGGATATGATTTTCTTTTAGGATATGATTTTTTTTTAAGTGGAAATGTTTATTTATGTGTTGAGAATGCCTAGAAAAGTATATACCAGTAGAGGTTCCTTCTAGAGCCTGGGATTGGGAATTAAGGGAAATGGAATGAGGAATCTCTCTTTAATGTTATTCTTCTCTTTGCACTTTTAAACTCTAAGTGTGTGTTAGTTTTCTAATTTATTTTTTATTTTGTTGTTGTTACTGTTGTCATTGTTGTTTAGCTGGCCCAGGCTGGTTTTGAACCCACCAGCCTCAGTGTATGTGGCTGGCACCGTAACCACTGTGCTATTGGCGCTGAGCCAGTTTCTAATTTTAAAAACTGGTATTAAGAATTTCTCTAGGTCAGGCACAGTGGCTCACACCTGTAGTCTTAGCATTCTGGAAGGCTGAGATAGGAAGATCTTTTGAGGCTAGAAATTTGAGACCAGCCTGAGCAAGAGCGAGACCCTGTCTCTACAAAAAAATAGGAAAATTAGCCAGGCTTGGTGGTGCACAACTGTAGTCTCAGCTACTCAGGAGGCTGAGGCGGGAGGATCACTTGAGTGAGCCTGAAAGCAGGAGGTTACAGGGAGCTATGATGACACCATTGCACTCTACCCTGAATTACAGAGTAAGACCCTGTCTATTAAAAAGAAAATTATTTATCTGAGTTTGGTCTTAAAATATCCCATCACCAAAAGAAAACTATTGGAGGGGAAGGGAAGAGTAGGGGAAGCAATTAGACAGCAATGCCAAAATGATGATACTAATGCTGGTCGATGGTACACAGGAGTTCATTATGTTCTTTTATTTCTTTTTGAAAGTCTGTTTAAAGAGCATGGATGCACACGATGTTAAAAGCACAAGCTTTGGTGAGACCAGGCTCAAGTTAACTAACACACAGCAAGAATAGGCTAGAACTGGGTGGGGGCTGCCCCCTTCATGCATGCCACACACACCACGTGGGTGTGTTGCTTACTCTGGCTCACTCGGCTCCTGTGTGAACTGACCTGATAGCAATCTGAGGTTGAGCCTTGGCCTAGATTGCCTGTAATGAATTAGAAATGGTATGTTTTCTCAGATGCATCACCACCACATTCACTGTGAAGTGAATCCCCTAAGGTTATCTGAGCAAAACTACAGGCTTTTCCAGATGCATTTCCCCAAATAAAAATACCATAGCCAGAAATCATTTGAGAAGGAAAGTAATTGAACCAACAAAGTAGTTTTAGATGAGAAAGCCTAGAGTCAGGGGAATGTCCTGAGTGTATGATTCAGTGGCGGGGAAATGATAATTTTGCCAATTAGAATGTACCCTAAGCCCCTGCCTATTATGCTTTGTTTTCTCCAGTTCTTTGCCTTCCTGGTCACCATCTGCTACGCTGGAAATACATATTTCAGTTTTATAGCATGGAGATCCAGGACCATTCAGTGATTTGTCATTTTAATAATTAAATGGAAAATAAAAAAGGAAGAATCTCACTGTAAAAAACAACTGTAGGTATAATGTATATTTCCAGAGAAATGTATTTAACTAATGTTTTTATATACTTAGTTAAATTTGCTTGCAAATTAGTTTGTTACAATTAAACTGGATTCTTTTTTACCAAGTGTTATAGCTTATAATGAACTTCTAAATATTGATGTTGTCACAGACCTTATTTTCTTAGACAATGTTTAAATAGATAAATTGCTAATATCAAGATGTGTCAAGTTTGTAAACTTAACTTTTGAAGTGCCAGATTCTTTTTTGATTAAATGTTGCAGAATCTCCACTAATGTCGTGTGCGATTTGAGAAAGGCCACCTCCAACTAACCGGTGAAGCCAGAGGAGGGATGCTGTGGGGAAAGTTTTTCTCCTCACAGGGCTACTCAGGTATGATGGTGTTAGGAGACTCCCACAGTCCCCGGCGCAGGGAAGCAGGAGAGATCATCTCCCTAAGTATGGGGATCATTGATTGGTGTCCATGATTTTCACACTCTAACAAGTTGGCCCAGAAAGCAGCAACTGAGAGATCAGTAATGAGCTCATGCAAAGTGGTGCTACTGAGCACAGTAACCCATGTGCTCATGATATTTTTTCTAATGCATATTAAAATAAATATATAACCATTCAAAGGATAAATGTCTATGCCAGGTGTGGTGGCTCACACCTGTAATCCTAGCACTCTGGGAGTCCAAGGCAGGAGGATCACCTGAACTCAGGTATTCAAGACCAACCTGAACAAGCATGAGACTCCCATCTCTACTAAAACTAGAAAAATTATTTGGGCATGGTGGCTTGAGCCTGTAGTCCCAGCTACTCAGAAGGCTGAGGCATGAGAATCAAGGATAGTTTGAGCCCAGGAGTTGGATGTTTCAGTGAGCTATGATGCCACTGTACTCTACCCAGAGTCACAGAGCCTGTCTCAAAAAAAAAAAAA